TTCTCAATCGCAATAGGCTCCATGAAAGCAGCTACTTTGTTTTGGCCACCAAAATCCTGCACAAGCCACCAAAAAAATGGCAGGGCTAAGACTCCTACCTAGTACTAGTTCTTCATCTATTCAGCCAATCACAACTCTCCTCCCAAATTTCTACACTTTTCTTTTTCTTTTTTAATTCTCACCTGTGCCCTGGCCAGTTTGGCTCAGTGGTTAGAGCGTCGGCCTGCGGTCCCGAGAGACCAGGGTTTGGTTCCCGCTAAGGGCATGTACCTCGGTTGCAGTTTGTCCCCAGCCCTGGTTGGTCGTGCGGGTGGCAGCCACTCGACGTGTCCCTTTCAAGTCGATATTTCTTTCTTTCTCTCTCTCTCTCTTCCTCTCTCCCTCCCACTCTACCTGAACAAAAAAATGGAAAAAAGTCATCGAGTGAGGATTAAAAAAAAAAAAATTCTCACCGGCACCCAAGGATATTTTTTCCATTTATCTTCAGATGGGGGTGGGGGGGGAGGGAGGGAGAGAAAGAAAGAGAAACATCAATATGAGAGAGACACATCAATTGGTTGCCTTCCACATGACCCCAACCAGGGCCAGGGACCGAACTGCAACCGAGGTACATGCCCTTGACCAGAATTGAACCTGTGACTCTTTGGTCCTTGAGCCAATGCTCTAACCGCTGAGCCAAACCAGCCAGGGCTACTACATTTTTAATGAGAGCAAAAAGGTACCATTAACAGAAGGTTGCTTGTTTTCTTTCTCATCTTTCCTAGACATCTAATCTGTGTAATTTATTATGCATATTAATATATGATTAGCATACTAACAGACTAATACTTTATTGGCACATGTATATATACCTATAAGCACGTATTAAAGGTGCACGCACAAGGTTTTATTGACTGGGCACATACTCAGAAATTTCTGAATATCCACTGCTTATGGCACAGACCAAGTCTTTTTCCTCTTTTAGGTGATAATCAGACTTCCCAGTTTGCTAGGACTGAGGAGGGTGTTTCAGGATGCACAATGGCCTCCAGAGATGTCCAAATCCCAATCCCTGGATTATGTCACTTTACACAAAGGCCTTTGCAATTGTGATTAAATTTGGGATGTTGACATGGGGAGAGAGTCCTGGATTGTCTGGTTAGGCTCAATGTAATCCTGGTGAAGGAAGCAGGAGGATCAGAGTCATCAGCAGATATGAGGACTGAAGCAGAAGCTGGAATGATGTGAGGAAAGAGCCACAAAATAGAAGCTGAAAAAGCCAATAAACAGAGTCTTCCTCTCAGAGCCTCAAGAAGGAACCAGCCCTGCTGCCCAGACCTAGACTTATTTTATATTTTAGACTTCTGACCCCCACACCAGAAGTAATTAACGCGTGCTGTTTTAGGCCACTACATGTTTGGTAACTTGTCACAGCAGCAAGCGGAAACTAATACAGGAGATCCTTGGGCTGTGGGGCTGTTACTGCGAATACTTAGAAAGTATTGGTCGGTCACCCCATTTTTATGTTTTCAATGCTAACAACCACATCTGGTACATTGCAAGCCTGAGAAAACCTGTGCTGAATGATTATGTGATGGGATGTACAGATAACATACCCTTACTGTTCTACCAAGCTCTGTCGTCACATGTCACCTCATTTCATCCTCCTAACAACCCTGTGAGCTAAGAATGAACTCGTTTCCCCAATTTTAGGGTATAAGAATTAAGATTCAAAGAAATTATTTAAGATTCAAAGAAATTATATAACATGTTCAAGGACACATATCCATCCAGTAAGTAGTGAAAAGATCCCAACAGTTAGCATCTTCTGCTCTAGATCAGGCTGCCTAAGTTCAAATCCAAGCTCCAATACTTAATAGCTGCTTAGCCATAACCAGGTTATTTCTCTACTCCTTGACTATAAAATGCAAAATGAGGTTAAAATAATACTTATATCATAGAGCTGCCGTGTAGATTAAAGGTGCTAAAATGTGTAAAGTACACAACACAGAGATAGTTGACAATAAACATTAGCTATCATATTACTTCGTACTAACTGATAAAGAATCACATAAAGTATGCAGAAATAAAATATAGCACCCGGAATGAACAATAAGATAGATAGGATGGGTTTTCTGTGAAAATAACCTAAGGTTAGGGCTCTAGACTGGAAAGACGAAAGGAAAGAGGAGACATAATCAAGATCTCTAAAAGTGTGACAATATAAAATAAGGTGGTAACAAAATTCAGTAATATTGGTAAAACGAGGGTGAGGGAGAACCTTAGAGACTAGAATACTGTAGCCCTGGCCAGTTTGGCTCAGCGATTAGGGTGTCCGCCTGCGGTCCGGAGAGACCCGCGTTCGGTTCCCACTAAGGGCATGTACCTCGGTTGCAGTTTGTCCCCGGCACTGGTTGGTTGTGCGGGTGGCAGCCACTCAATGTGTCCCTTTCACGTCGATGTTTCTCTCTTCCTCTCTCTCCCTCCCACTCTATCTGAACAAAAAATGGAAAATGTCCTCAGGTAAGGATAAAAAAAAAAAAAGAAACTAGAGTGCTGTAATTTAAACATAGAGCATTCATACATTTACAAAACAGCACAACTTATCACAGATTTTGGAACAATTTATGAATGACAAAGATAACAAAATTGGCTACTAAGAGGAGCTTGTCTATTCTGCAAACCTTCTGTCTAATTCTATAATGGCTTTAGGTACTCGTGTGGGTTAAGGGGGACGGAGATGTTGGGAAAGAACTAGCAAAAGTCAGACCTCCAGCTGGGTCAGTGCTGTAATGTCAATATTTTAATCTCCCAGGGAAAAAGAGTCTCAAAAAAATACAACATACCCTTTGCCAAACAATGCCATGTACCAATCCTCTTCCCCAATCTCATCACCACCTTTCCAAAAAAAATTTCAAGCCTAAATATCCTATTTTGATGCCTTTTAATGGCTTCAGTAAAGAATAATTAAAATGTCTCTAAATTTGGCAGTCCAACAAATCTCAAAATATACTAACCCAAATGTTTCTTAAGCTCAAGTTTCTTAAACCTTTCCCTCTTAAACTTTCAACATCCATTTTTCAAAGTAGGAGTCAACAAACTTCACAGAACTTTATGACTACTATTTCAATACTAAGCTAACTGATTTTTCCCCCTAACAGGTCATGATATCCTCATTATTACAAATGAGTACTATTGAGAAATTGTATTGAGGTTGCTTAAGCAACAGATAGCCAGAAATTACACAAAGTAAGAGAAGCATGGTTAATCTAAATCCACAAATTATTTTAAGAACCACATGTAATATTTGATTTTTAGCCAATTAAAAAAGACTTTAATTATGTTTCAGGGTACAAACTTGCAGCTGGTAGATAAGTAAGTCCTGGAAATCTAATGCACAGTACAGTGAACACAGACAGTGATATTGTATGACAATCATCAAACTTGCTAAGCAACTAGATCTTTATTGTAACTACACTCACAAAAAAGATAATCATGTGACATGATAGACGTGCTACTGCTACAATGGCAATCATATTGCAATATGGCAATCATATTGCAATATATAAATGTATCAAATCTACATGTTGAACATCTTAGGTTTAAACAATGTTTTATGTCCAATATATTTCAATTTAAAAAATCAGGAACAATGGTGCATTCTAAACATTAATGAAAATTGTAACCTCCTATGAGCCATTTCTGGAAGTGCTAATGAAGAACATGGTCTAAAGATGTGTAGATCAAGAAAGTGGAAAAAAATAGATATAATCTACAAACAACGAAGCAGTCCCCAGGAGGAGACAGATATGAATATAATGTTTTGGTATCTCATCTACAGATTTAAATTTAAAGTGGGGTAAGTAGATTCACCTCCTCTATGCACTTCTTGGTACCCAACATGATACTAAAAGGTTGTGTGTGTGTGTGTGGGGGGGGGTCTTAAGAGGGTTTGAAATGAAAGATAATAGGGCAAATTTATTTTTCCCTAAAACTTCTATCAACCTTCCAATCAAAATTCCCCAGCCGGGCAAGTGTCGTTTCCCCCCCTCGTGGTTAGGTACCATCTTATGTGAGCAAGAACCCTACAACTCCAGGGTCTCTGGAATTCATGAAGCCAGCCATAAAAACAGAAATACTGCTGTCTTGCAGACATAAGCTAAACCAGAAACTCAGAGTATCCGAATTTTATAATAAACAGCAAGTCACTTTGAATGAAGAAATACCTCTGAAGTCAGCAAACGTCACACACCTCTGAAGAAACCCCCTAACAGGGAAGAATGACTTCCCCAAGTACGAGGATAGCAACCCTCTGACCCGCAAGCTCTCCGCTCTTCAAAAAAAAAAAAAAAAAAAAACCACAAAAAAAACCAAACGTGCCGGGAATTAACAGGAACGCCAAAAAACTTCGTCTTCCCGCCTTCAGAACACGGGGCTGGTCCCCCCCTACTCAGGGACGCCGCCCCGCCGCCCCAGCAGAAAGGACGCCCTTCCACCCCAGTGGCTTCCCGTCACTCCCCGGGCGCAAAGCGCTGCAAACCCCCGGAAAGTTCCCGCGGGCAGCCGCCCCGGGCACGGGCGGCCGGACTGCGAGCGCGGCCAGGACGAGCGTGCGCCTGGCGAGCCCGGGGCACCACTCGCGTTTTCACCAGCGCACGACGGGCACGTCCCCCCGCCGGCCGACGTGCCCGGTGCCCGCAGCGCGCAGGCAAAGCCGCGGCCGCCAGCGACCCGAGCGACGGGCCCACCCCGACCTCGACACCCGCCGCCCCCGAGGGCAGGGTCCCGGGACACAAAGGCGCCCAGGTGTCCCCTCTTCCCCGGCGGCCTGCCCCCCTCCGGCCTGGAGATTCCGAAACACAGCGCGGACACCTCCGCCCCCGGCGAGTGCTGCCCGGCCGGTCGGCGGGGCCTCCGAGGGACCCTGGCACCCGCAGCCTCCAGGGCGAGATGCTGCGGGGGTGTGACCCGCGCCCCCCACGCCCCGGGGAAGCCCGCGCGGCGCGGGCCGGGCTGCTCACCAGACCAGCGAGCACAGCGACAGGCAGGACACCAGGGCCAAGGCCCGCCGGTACTTCTTCATCTTCTCCTCCTTCTTCCCCCGGCCAGAAGGCGGCACATCCTCCCGGCAGCCGCCACTGCCGAGGCCAAGATGGAGGAGCCGGAGCCGGAGCGCGAGGATGGGAGCGAGCGTCCGGAGGCTGCGGCGCCGGGGGAGCGGCTCCTCGGCGGCCCGCGTGCCGGCCGCCCTCCCCCCGGGGCCCGCGGCGGCGCCGACCGGGGCGCTTCAGGCGAGGACTCCGGGGACTGCCGCCGCTGCCGCCTGCTCGTCCGCGCCCGCCTCCTCCAGCCGCCGCCGCCGCCACTGCCACCCGTGGTCCCCCGCCCGCCCCGGCTCTCCCTCCGTGCGGCCGGCCACCAACGGCCGCAGCGGACTCGCCGGCCGACAGCCAATCACCGGCGGGGCCGCGACACCTCACACACCGCTGAGCTGGAAGCAGCCGCGTCACCCACGTCCCGCGGCGCTCTCACCCCCCCGACTAGCCCCGCGCGGGCCACGCCCCCTCGACGTCTCTGGCGGAGGAGCCTGAGGAGGAGGACACAAAGCGCGACCGCCGGCGAGGCCACAGCCCCGCCCACCTCCAGTCCTGCCCCGTCAGTGGCTCACGTCCAGGAAGTCGGAGAAGAGCCCCGTGACGCTCAGCCTTCTTCCTTACAATGGCCCGCCCCCTCGCTCCGGACGCGCCGGGTCCGCGCAAGGCCTCTTGGGAGTTGTAGTTTCCCCTTCGGAACCTTCCTTTCCCTGTCCCCGTCCCTCCTGAAATCTCGGAGTTGATGGAGAGGTCTATAGTTTCGCCTCTCACCGCAAGGCTGACCGGCTTTGGAACTGGTACACTCAGTTGTTTCCTCTTCGTGCACAGTATGTGGGATGGCCTAGAATGACGGTGGAGGAAAAAACAACCACCTATACTAATAACATTTGAAAGGTGTTTTTTCCCTTGTGAATGGGCCCGGGCCATCGAGCTAGGTGCTGATTGGTAGGCGGGAAGGGGGTGTGCCAACATGCCTCCCGTCTGATTGGTTGGAGCGGAAAGTCTCTTGGGGCTTTGCCTAAGAGAATTCCGCGGCCCGCCGGATTCCTCTGTTGGGATGGGTGCTGCTGGTCTCGGTTCCGCTGGATTCCTGCTGTGGGTGGGCCGCGGAAGGTCTGGAAGGGACACAGCGGCTCCTGCCGGGGAGCTCCGAGTCCTGGGGTTCTTCGCAGCGGGGAAGGCTGCCGTCCGGCGCAACACACGCGACCGCTTCTCAAGCTTCAGTACCGAGCATGTGATCAGCCCAGATTTGTAGGCCACAGGCCCCTAATTCCTCTCTGTATTCATCCACTCCCCCCTCTCAGCCATGCCGACTGCCCGCCGTTCCTTCACTAAGACAGTCAAACCACTTTTTCCAAGTCTGCTAAGTTTCCTCGAGCCACGTGCAGTGTCAGCGCCTGGACGCCTTCACCAGGGAGATGGACTCGCGCTGTAGGTGCTCAGCGCAGACAGGCAGGGGGGCACCAAGCTGGCTGCTCCAGGACGGTGATGGGAGAGCCGGGCCAGGACTGGGCCCTAAAGCCTAGTAGCAGGTTCCCAGGCCTTGGGCACCTGAACTGCAGCACCAGTGGGTCCTGTTTCAGGTGCGGGGGGCACGCTCCAGGCAGTGGGAAGGGCAGAGAGCTAAGGCATGGAGGTACGCCTCCTATGCTCTGGGAACAGAAAATTCAGTTTACCTTGAGAGAAGACTACAGACATGTCAGGGGGTTGAAAAAGGTAGTTTAGACAGATGACAGAATACCTTGAATGCCCTGCTCAATCCCCCCACGGGTACGCACTGCTCCCCTCCTGGTCCAGGGACAGCATCTCTGGGCAGAGTTATTTCTCTTTCATTCCAGTGAGAAACCAATACAGATTCTCGGCCTTAATCTTGAAAAAGGCACCCAATGACACCTCCCTGTGGAAGACCCAGCGATGGTTACTGTCTGGGGAAGACTTCATCTGCCTGTTGGATACAGTTAACCCCCAGAGAAAAAGTACTTATCAGAGAACTAGGAAATCCAAAGGGTCTTCCTCTAACGTCGAGAACATTCAGATATCACATCTTTAAACGTAACATCCTCACAACATTAGAAACCTGTCCAGATAAAAGAATATATGAAGAGAGGGGAAGAGGGGCAATATGAACAAGAGACGGAGACGGGGAGAAAAAAGGAGAGTTATGGGAGCTGTAGGAGAAGGAGAGAATAAGGAATGAACTTGGCAAGTCCTACAGCTTTGTGGTCACCATGGTGACCCTCATGAAGCCATTTCTCTGTCATCTTGCCAGTTCCAAGAAAATCTTTGAAGGGTTGACCTACAGTCCAAGGAAGCCAAATGAACAGTGGAAGAGATCCTGTGTCTCTTTTTTCTTTTTTATTGCCCTTACTGGTAGTAATCAATGTGACATTTTGGGTCTGACTTTTTTTTTTTTTCCAAGAAAGGAGGAATTTATGTAAAAATGTAAAAGCTAGAAGCTGAATAGTTACAGGAACGGTGGGCTAGTAGGAAATAAGGCCTCCTTCCATGCTTTCCTGCTGTGGTTGCATAAGAAACTGAAAGTGCACAATGAGGAAGTGGCCCCCGGGGTCTTGCTTCTGTACCTGAAATGTCTGGGGAAAACCAGAGCTGCAGAGAAGAGGACGCTTAGCACGCTCACTTTGTTCTTGGTGGGTTTGTTTGAACATCCAGCACCCCCAGGGAGCTCGTGAAAGGACAAACACACACAGTGCCACCATATTGCCGAGGGCTACATTCTGGCAAAATAAAACCCAGGATCAGGTGTTCCACCTCTTGCAAGTTGTCATTTATCAAGAGAGATCACAAGACCAGAGTGAGGCATTCTAGAGATATTTATGTCACCGGGAAGGGAAAACACAAAAATGAAATGAGCTTTATTCTGAGTGATCCATTTAGGGAGAATTGATTTTTGTTCCTAAAAAATCCACTTGATAACTATTTTAATTTGAAGTAAAAACACCAGCATGTATCCATTCTGTGTTTCCCTAAGAGAAGCTTCGTGTTGGACTTGAGGACGTTTCATGTGGAGTTGGCTAATAGTGTGCTGCTTGGGACAGTAAATATGCCGAAGGAGCACTTATCTTTGGGTCCCACATGGCTACATGACCCTCTGATATCACCAGTGTGACTTCCCAGACACAGCTGTCTTTGAACACATGCAGCATAGGGCTGTCGGTGAATAAATAAAACTCCACAAGCAGGGGGATAGCCCACATCTAACACCTGAAAGTCCATCCTGCTGTGTTTCACCTTCCACGTGCTCTGCAACACGGTGCAGGTGTTTATAAAAATCAAACACACACACGCACACGGCCCCAGAAGACGTGCTTCACGACTACGCAAATTACGGGTTGCTCTCTATTCTCCATTGTTTCTATGAAAACTGCTTATTTTTTTCTTTTTGTTCATAAAATTAAAACTAGCAAAGAAAGAATCTCTTTCTCCTCACCCCCACCCTCCATGCTACTTTGTCTCTAAATATTGATACAACTCATTTACTTGGGTAAAACGGAGGCAAGGGTCAAGAGAAGGAGCACAGGGGAAAAAAAAAAAAAAAAACCAGCCCCTCACTCGACAGTTCCTCTAAGTCTGTAAAATAAGAACCACGAGACTTCTCGGGGGTTGAAAAGAGAATCAAATAAGGTAACGGGAGCGTTTAGCAAAGTGTCCAGTACAGAGTCGTCACTAATGAGCACTCGTAGAATCTGAATCGGAATCAGTGGATGGAAGAGGACGCAAAACACTCGAAAAACATTCATTAGGACTATTTTTAGTTCTTAAAGCAGTTCTGCTAGCTGAAGAACATATTCTGTGTGTTTAGTTACTGATCTGGAGTTTAATACTTCAAGTTCCTTATATTTTCTCGACAACGAACCAATGAATTGCTGAGTTTTCTTCATGCATCTTTTCAGAATTCCAGCCTAAGATCTGCACAGAATAAATTAGACCTAAATAGTATTCTTTCAGTCCATGTTGTCTTCCTTCCATGTGTATATATTTCAAAGAGCTCTGCCTATAATGATAACCCTTATGGTCTGCTTTATTGCAAAGCACTCAATGATTACTTTGCAAGTTCTTTTCATTAATAAAGACAAAAATATCCTTCTTATGTGTGAAATATGCCAATCCCTTTAAAATTAAGTTGATAGACACAAATTGGACAGGGGCTGTTTATATCCTAGAGGTCTACATGGCCAGCTTCTTGGGTTAAGAGGGATGGAATTTTCACTCTAAGTGAACCACGAAAGATGAAATGACACCTCAGAGGCTGTGTCAGCAGACCAGGTGGGGCTAAGTTTCCTATTTCTTAACCCACTCATTATGACTCTTTAGGTGGGGCTCCCATGAGATCACCATGAATAATCCAGGTGAAGACAGGCCTGAAGCAGGCAGAGTCTTGTTGGACCCAGGTAGATGTTACGAGTGTTTTCCTACTACTTTACATAAAGAAGGGGAGGGCTGACTCCTGAGGGAAGAGCCAAAAATATGTACTCATGTTCTGCGATGTGCTTATAAAGAACAAAACTGGAGATTTTTATTATTTGTTTCTGCCCATCACCCCTTCTTTCTTCTGGAAATAGTATTCCCTTGTTCTAGGGTAACTGAACTCCCCCACCTTGTACCTGGCCCCAAGGAGTCTGGATGAAAGTGGACAGTGATTGGCCCTGTGGATGGGCACGTGACCCCGGCTAGCCCATTCTGAGCCTTTCCTTGCGGTTTTCAAACTGGGGTTTGGGGGAAGTGTCTTTTTTCCTTTGTGGTAGGTAAGGGATGGAGACAGAACCCCGGGACTGCTGGTAACCTGGCGTAGGGACCGATGAAGTCAGCAGCAGAGAGAGAGGATACAGGATCCTGCTGATATTCAAGCCCGGGCTCCAGGTTTCCCAGGACAGGATGTCCTTCCTGGAGGGTGGCTGTGTGAGACAAGGCAATCCTCTGTTACCTAAACTAGTTCCAGCTGAGTTTCTGATCCTTGCGATCTAAAGAATGCCAGTTCACATGCCCTGCCTACCCAGAGACGTCCTGAAGAATCGATTTCTTCACAGGTGAAAGGAGCCACGTAATTGTTTTCCATGGCAGAGACCTTATAGACAAGTAGCTTTCATCTTTATAACCAGTTTCTAAAAAATAATTAGAAATGACAGGTAACGTTGCTATTGACTCTACTTGACAGGGTTTGTTAACGACCGACTTCCTCTGTGAAGTCTATGTTTTAAAGCTATTTCAAACCCAATTATTTCCTAATCATCAAACCCAGTGGCCATTTTCTTCCTTCTCTTATGACTCAAGTTAATTTGTCCGG